GGCGGGCGGCTCGTCCTGTGCGCCGTAGCCGGTCGGCGATCTCTGCATTCCAGCTGGGCGCGGCCTGGGCGGGACAAGCGCGGAGCGCGGCGGGCGGCGGACGGCGGACGGGCGGTGACAGTGGGACTGGTTGTGGCCCGACGCCCCGCGGGCGCCCAGATATAGCGACGCGGAGCCAATGGGCGGCAGGCGGGCGGGGCGCGGGCCGGTCCGCCCCCTCCCCGGGGGCTCCTTTCTTCTCGGCTGGATTCCCTGCGTCGCCCCCCCTCTCCGAGGGGGCGACCCCCGAGTGGGAAGGGGCTGCAGATGCAGCTGGGGCTCAGAGGGGGGAACACCCCTTGAGGGTGTGGGGTTTTCAAGCGGAGCTGTGGCTGCCCCACCCACGGAGTCGCTCCTGGCGGTAGTTGGGGGAGGGTGGCAGCGGCCAGCTCTTTACCTTGACCCTTCAGGTTATTCTGGGGGGGGGGCAAGGGGAATCGTTTCAACACCAAGTTCTCCAGGGCGTTCTAGACTCTAACTTCCCAGTAAGCAGGGCCTTTGGAAAGATGCCACTCTCCAGAGGGGCCTCTCCGGGTTGTCCTGTCCGTCTGTTCTTGCCCTTAACCTTCCACGTGCACATGGCATTTCAAGCAGGAAGGCCTTGGATACCACCACCACCACCACCACCACCCCCTCGCCCCATGGCGGTGGTGGGGTTAAAGGAGCAGACAGCCTGTCCTCCTACTTCCAACCCTACTTGAGATAGTGCTGGGTTGGACGTGGGGAGGGAGAGAGACCTAAGTGGGCATTGTGGCCAGTGCCCTCATTCCGCCCGTATGGCCTGTTTGGAGCCACAGGCGGGCAGCAAGAATGGCTGCAGGCAGAGAGAGCAAGGCTGGACTGAGATGTGGTGGGGCCACTGGGGAAAAGTGGTTTCCAGGAGAGCTTGCAGCTGCCTGCTTCTCACTGCTGTCCTGCTCCCACTCCATGGGAGGAATCCTGGCTTCAGGTCTCCCAATTGTCCCTCAACAGTCCATTGGGTTCTGTGGGCCACGGCCCTCTGAACACCCTACTCACAGCCTGGTCTGCTGGTGACCAGGGTCTTATGTGGTGCTGCAGTACCTCTCCTTGTTCCTTGGTGACCTTCAGGGTCCTTCCACCTGTGGCGTGTCCACCCTGTTCAGGTCAGCCTGAGTAAAGGGTGGGGTTTCTAAGGGTGGTTTGCAGATTTTCCCAGTTCTTCAGGTCTTCCCAGAAAATGCCAACCTTCCTCTTGCAGGTGAGATGGGGGCCAGGGAAGCACAGGCACCATCTCCTGCTGCTGCCTCCTCACTGGGACCCTCCCCAGTGCTAACATTGTGCCCCCAGGTCCCATCTGGGTCAAGAGTGGGGGAGATGGGTGAGGAAGACTCCAGTTAGGGGATAGGTCCCACGGGCCAGCTGCCCTGGTCCTCCCAGCACCTGTGACCACCTCTGCCTGTAGCCTTGTAGGTCTCTCTGGATCACTAGGCCTGGGAAGGAGCCTCCACACTGGGACAGATTGGCAGCCCCTAGGGGTCCAGAGTTATTGAAGCTGCTTGGGAACCACTTCTTGTACTACCTCACCCCCGTCCCTGGGCTGCTTGCCTGGAGTCAGACAGTGACCCTCCACTGGCCCAGGCTGCAAACCTCAGGTGTCTGGCCATCTTACCCTATGAGCCAGCTGGGGATGTAGGCAAGGACCCCTGGGGTGCCCTCCCTCATGCACACTGCCTGGTGGAGATTGACCAGGGGCCCCGACTATTGACCAGATGGGAGCCCAGTGGGGTAGGGCCACCATAGAGGTGATCCTGACCCTGCAGCACACCTATCCACAAGAGGCTGAGGGCTCTCCAAGGCTGCACAGGATAAGTGTGGGTGTGGCCCAGCCCTGGGCTGGCTGTGCTGGGAGGGATCTGCTGTGTGTATGTGTGTGGTCTGTGTCTGTGTGTCTGTGTGTGGGGTGAGGTGGACCCTAGTGCTGGGGCTGCCCCAGGCCTTGGAGGCCAGACAGAGGCTGTACTCTGTTGCAAGGAGACCAGGTCTAGCTACGGGTCCTCCTCAGTGAGGCCTCAGCCTCAGCACCCACTGAGAGGAGTCCCTGAGGCTTCACCACCAGCCATGGGTTGTGGTCCCAGCTCATCCAAAGGGGGAATGAATTGTTTGTCTAAGGTCATTCTTATGCCACCGGGTCTTCCCACCTTAGGCTGGCCTGGCCCCAGTAGGCTGCCACCCACCATTGGAAATGGGCCTTGTCTGCAACCCCCAGTACCCCTGGAGAAAGGTGGAGTGTAGTAGGAGTGGGGTGTCACGTGGGCACCATCCACCCACCCTCTGCCCACTACACTCTCTCAGTCTGGACCAGACCCCCAGCCTTTGGGGGAGGCTCATCAAGGATGCTGGGCCATCCCCCATGGTGGCTCTGGGTTGGGGCTTGGCTCTGCTCCGGGCTGGGGGTGGCAGGACCTCCCAGGCGCTGCCCAGGGCGCAGACCTCACAGGCTCACGCCAGCCAGCCCCCAGCAGCTGCAGAACTAGCAAACCTGGGACCAATTACTGAGTCCTGGGGGCCCAGGGTCTCTACTCCCAGAGCAGGGGATCCTCTGTCAGCCAAGGCTCCAGGTGATAGGGACCCTCTAGTCTCCTGAGGCCCCAGCTTTGGATCCACCTTGCCTACCGTGGCACTGCGGTAGCAAGGCAGCCCCTGTCGCCTGGGCCATTCCGACAGCAGTGACGACCATGTGGCCCAGAGTGCTGGGACCCGGGGGGAGGCCGCCCAGTGTCTCAGGGCCAGTTGGGTGCTTGTGTTGCCAATTAGTGGGTCTGGCTTGGGAGGTCCCTGGAGATGGTAGGTCTGTCTGCCCCTGCTGTCCTGTTTCAGGCCTGGAGGGCTGGGCCTGGCTTGCAGTGAGTTGCCAGCCCCATTTCTGGGAAGAGACTGGGGCTGGACAGGCTAGGGGTGGTCTGTGCTTTCCCAGGTGGGTGAAGGTGGCCGAAGTGTGCAGGAGGGAGAGGGCTGGGGTGAGCGTGTGTGAGTGTGCAGGGGTTGACTTGTGCAGGTGAGAGCAAGAAGGTGTGAGGGGTGTGTGTGTGTGAGCATGTGTATGTGAATCCATGCGTGAGCATGTGAGGGCAGGCACAAGTGGGAGTGAGTGTGTGTGTGTAGCTGCTCACCTGGCCGGGGCTCTCAGGTGCTGAGTTGGGGGTCTATGTTCATGTGTGTGATTCCACACAATCATGAGGACCCCCAGAGTTGGTGTTAGTGCAGGACTGGGTGTTGGGGGTTGGTGCAGGTGGGGGCTGCTGGGCTGGAGTCTTGGGGTGTGCGTGGGGGGCTGTCACAAATCTAAAGGGGTGTCAGGCCAGGTGTCTGTGGTGGCCAGGATCCTGTCCCCCTTTGGGTGCTGTGAGGCTGTAGGCTGAGTGGGTGCAGCTGTGAGAGCTGCAGGGTGCCTGCTCCATGCCACTGGTTCAGGTCACGTGGTAGAGGGGCTGCTCTGTATGACGTTGTGGGGGCTGCAGAAGCCCATGAGATTTTATGCAGGTTGTGTGGGACTGTGGGGTGTGGGCTGTGGGATGAGGTTGGGGTGCCTTAGGGGCTGGGGGCTGATGCACATCTGGGGGGTGCCTGGGTGCCACGTGAGCTTGAGGGTTACCATGTAATCCTCTGTGGGTGTTGTGTGGTTGCTGTGTGTCCTCGGGGTGTGCTGTGCACTGTGTGGGCCTCCTGGGCTCAGCAGGGGCTCCATGGGAACCAGGCTAGGGGGCCGCCCCTCTTGGTTTCCATGGTAACAGCAGGGAGGGGCCAGGAAACAGCAGCTCAGGAAGGAAGGCCGGCAGAGGGAGCCTGGGCTGAGCAGGCGCCAGACTCTGTCCGGTGGCCGGGCCGGCCCACTCCTGTCCAACTTACCTCTGTCCGAAAACCAGCCCCCTCTGCCCCACCACTCGGTGCCCTGGCGTGTGACCGAGTGTCCTGGGTCCTACAGTGCATACCCAGTCCCCAGGTGGCTCTGTGCATCCCTGCTGGCTGGTGCCTCCCGCCCCCCATGCTCTGGGTGACATTTATTGTCCAGGGGGCCTTGAACCCTCCTTGGGGTGGCTGCCAGCTCCCATTGGAATCAAGAGAGAGGGGGACAGGGCAGGAGTGGGAGCAGAACAAGCCCTGGACCTCCATAGGCCCTGTGGGCCATGTGCTTCCTAGCTGCTTGTCCTGGCTTTGGTGACTAAACCGGTGGGGAGGGCCAGGACTCTTGTTCTTGGGGCCCGTCCACCCTTGGTGACAGCATCTCTCTCACTCAGGGAAAGGGCTGGTTCATCCATCCATTCACTGTCACTGATCTGTGTAGCAGGACGCCCTTGGGGATAAGGATTCGGTGGTGAACAGAAGCTGCCCACAGGGAGAGACAGATAGGCAACAAGTCCACGACCAGCCAGAATATGGAGTGCCAGGCGGAGACACACTGGAGAACAGTGCCGTGGCTGGTGAAGGGCATGGGATGGCTGGGACGCCATGGCCTGCCCTGGGATGAGCCTGAGCTGATGCCTGAAGAAAGCATGGGGAGCAGACGTGTGGGTTTGTCGGGGGGCTCTAGGCTGAGGGTCAGCTGTACAAGACCTCGGGGTGCGGAAGCCTGGCTGGGTATGGCGGAGCACATAGGAGGCTGGTGGTGTTGTACTGAGAAAAGTGGGGAGAAGACGAGGCTCACAGGGGCCTGGGGGGGTCTCTCTTTTCCCAAAAGGAACTGTGGGGTCTTGGGAGGGTTTGGGAAGAAGAAGGGTGTGGTATCACTCAGCTTTCACCCCTGAGGGCCAGGGCCGGAGCCCAGTGTGCACAGGGAGCCTGGGCCTGCCGCCCACCCGTGGCTCAGACTTCACTTCTCTCACAGCCCGATACCGCCCCCCTCCCTGGCCCAGGGCCTCTGGAGAGGGGGAGGGTGGAGTGGCCGCCAGGCTGGCGGGCTGGCAGGCTTGAGGGCGGCGTTTCTGGGAATTGTGTTGGGGGAAGTGCATTGTTAGATGGAGCCTGAAGCAGGCAGCCGTGCTGGCCTCCGGGGGACGCCTTGCACCCCCACCCCACGCTGGGAGCTGGGCCTGGGCCAAGGCTGTGGGCCGGGATTTTCCGAGAGACGCTGCCTTGGGCAGGCAGTCCTTCCCACTCTGCAGACTGGAAGACTGAGACCCAGAGAGCAGGCTGTCAGCGGTGGGCAGGGCCAGAAGTAGCTGCGCAGGGGGGGGTCTTGCTGGACCTAAGTCCCTGGTCACAGAGGCTGGGACCCAAGGGAGGCTTAGGTGGGTCGGTAGGGGTCACGGTGTCTCGGCGTCCCTGCAGTGGGGAGGGTCTGGTAGACTAGGTGCCTGGGAGGGGGCAATCCGTGCCAGCACACTCCCTCACATCCCATGCATGCTGCCCACCAGGGTCCAAGGAGGTCCAGAGAGCCAAGTCCTTCAGCTGTTTCATTCAGACCCACCAGGGGGTGGGTGCGGGCTCTGGGCTTCAAGGCTGCAGCTTGCCTAGGGCAGTGCCCCCTATGGCCATGGGAAGTAGGGGGTCCGTGTGAGCTCAGTAGCCCCAACCTTCCCACCACAGCCCCGCCCAGCCAGAAGGGAAGCTCAGTGCCGGTCCACTGGGGTCACGGCCAGGCTGGGCGGGTGGGGGTTGGGGACACAAATAGAAAAATAATGGCCCGGCTTCCGATGTCTCTCGTGGCCGAGGCGGGCGGGGCCTCAGGGCCGGTGGGAAGGGGCATCGAGGCCAAAGGGCGGCTGCCTGCGTCCTCCAGGCCCTCACTTGGGCATTTCTGCTCCTCAGCCTCCCAGGACAGGACTGTGCTCCTCAGAGGGAGCTGCTCCGTGAGTCTCTGTGAACCATGGGAGATAAAGCGGGAGGGCTCCCTGGAGGAGGAGGCTACAAGGCTGTGGGAAGCAGATGCTGACAGCTGTGCAGAGACGGACACACAGACAGGCTCTGGGGCCAAGGGCTGGTCCCCTCTGATCTCTCACCCCGTCAGGTTCACACCTGCGGCCCCTTTCCTTCAGCCGCACCTCTGCACGTGTATGCCACAACCCCTGCCTTCTCTGCCTATGCACACCTGGCCTGCCAGGGCCGAGACTGTGGTCTAGCCTCCCCTGTCAACCTTCGGGGGTTGCATCTGTCTCGTGGGCAGGGGGAAACCGGGAGGGGGGGCTGACCCAGAAGCTGGTGAACCAGGGCTATCACCGCCTCACCCTCCAGAAAGGCTGCTGGCACCAGGAGAGCAGCGGCCCTGCTTTGCTGAAGGGCGACTGTACTGTCTGAATGAAACAGCTGACGGACTTGGCTCTCTGGACCTCCTTGGACCCTGGTGGGCAGCATGCATGGGATGTGAGGGAGTGTGCTGGGGGCATGATGGGAGCTGGTGGAGGTTGCACCCCAGGTCAGGAAGTAGCTCACATATGGAGAGCGTGTTAACTGGGTTTTGAAGTGTGAGCAGGAGTTCGCCTGCAGGTGCTGGAGGTGAGGGCCTGAGCAGAAGCCAGAATGTGGACATGCCAGGAACGGAGGGCTGGGATCCGGAGGGCCAGTCTTGGGACTAGTCTGGGGAGCTCTAGTGAGGAGGAGCCTGGGGCAGGATGTGAGCCAGGTGTCCAGACACGGGGGTTCCCCCCCTGCTGGAGCCCAGCACAGCCCTTCAAGGCCCCTCGCTGTGGACTAGATGGCTATGTCACCGATCTGCTCCTGCCATCTAGAGGCTGCTGCTTGCCACAGGCCCAGCCCTGGGCTACACCCCTTCCACGGTCCAGGTGGTGGCGTGCTGGACTCCAGGCCCCTCTCCTGTGAGGGCCTGGAGTAAGTTGGGGTTCGGGGTTTCTGTCAGTGGGATGGGCTGTGGTCCCCAGGGCAGAAGCATGGGCATCACCTCATCATCCCACCCCATCCCGTTGTCCACCATTCTTCCTTGTCACCATCCCTGCCTGGGCTCGGGACCTACAACAGTGATTGTTCGGTCATGCTGCATACCTGTTCTGAGCGGGGATGAGATTCAGCTCACATCCACCCCACAGCAGTTTTGTCCCACGACGCTGTCAGCACTCCATTTATAGACCGGGAGACTGAGGCACAGAGCTGTCACTATCTTGCCTAGGGCAGCTTGAGGGGCAGCACTTGAGTTGGCAGCCTGGGGCAGGAGGACCCCCCAGGCGGTGCCCCAACCCCTGGTGCCTTCTGACCCAGGCCCAGGCCCCTCACAGACCGCAAGTCTATGTTGCGGCTCATGCCCCTGGGGCGTCCGTGCGAGTACCCACAGCCAGCGCAGGGAAGTTGGAGGCATTTAAGACAGAGGCCCGGTTGCAGCTGGGCCTAAGAAGCGCGCAGATGCTCTGGCGCCCCCTACCGGCCGGCCTGCGCCTCTTTCCGGCCGACGGGCCCGTGGCCCTCTTCGCTGGGGCTTGAACCAAAAAACAAACCCACAGCGATCCAGTCGATTCCGATTCATTGTGACTCCATTGGGTTTCCAAAGCTGTAAATCTTTATGGAAATAGATCTCCTCATTTTCCTCCCACGGAGCAGCAGGTGGGTTTGAACCTCCGATCTTCTACCCACTACGCCAGGACTTGAGAGACCGCAAATCGTCAGGCCCCGTGGGCTCCCGGCGGCGACCCGCGTCGTGACTACATTTCCCAGTAGGCTGCGCGCGCACGCGCCGGGGCGCCTGGGAGTTGTTGTCTAGGTGGGGCGTGCATGCGCTGGGCGAGCGCGCGGGGGGACTACGCGTCCCAGGGTGCAGCGCGGCGCCCGCGGGAGCGGGGGTTTGAGGCGAGGGTCTCAGCCGCGGCGAGCGGCTTTGGGCTGCGGCGGCGGGCTCTGAGGCCGGCGGGTGCGGGAGGCGGCGGCGGCGGCGGCCGGGGCCGGTCTGAGCCGGTGACAGGCCGGCGAGGGGGCTGCTGGGGTGTGTCCAGGGGCGATGATGGGCAAAGAGGAGGATATTGCGCGGATCGCTCGGAGGCTGGACAAGATGGTGACCAAGAAGAGCGCGGTGAGGGGCGCGGGCCTCCAGGGCCCTGGGACCCCCGCCCTGCCGAGCCCCCGCCGAGCCCGCCGAGCCCCAGGTCCGGGCCGGGAGACCCCTGGAGGTCAGGACAAGCTCCCGCCCCGGCACAGGCTCCCAGGACGCAGGGAGACCCCCGCCCACGGGCGAGCCCTCCGCCCGTCCCTGCGCCCCGGCAGAGGTCGCCGGGCAGGCGGACCCCATCTCCGAGCCACCGCCCTGGACTAAGGCCCCTGCCGCCTTTAGACCCAGGCTCCCACCCATCCCTGTACCAAGTCCAGACCCGGGCCCTGCTGGTGGAGGCCTCCCCTGGCCACCTCGCCTGCACCTCATGGAGACACCTCCCCGGCTTTGTGACCCACCGCCTTCCTCTTTCCTGGTCACCCCTCTGCAGTCGCAGCCCAGGGCCCTCTGTCTGCTCTAGGCCCCCCACCTTTCGCAGACTGCAGAGCTTGGCACCATCCCTCCAGTCCCCCTGCTCCCAGCTGGGCACTCCGTCATCCCCTTTCACAGCAACAGAAGGCTTTCCCGGCCGCCACAAAGTCCTGTCGCTCCAATAAATTTTCCCTTCCTTAGCGAGAACTCAGGCAGCAGGGACTGGGGTGGGTGGAAGTGTAGAACCCCTCCGGAAAAGCCCACAGGCTTGTGTAAGATGGGGGAGGTGGGTGCTTGCTGGCAGTGCTGGGGCCGCTGGCCAGGCTTGTGGCTGAATGGGCTGACCATCCTGCTATCTGGCAGCCATGGTGTGCCCTTGGAGGCTTTGTGCTGTGGCTTTTAAGAAGGGCCAGGCCTGACACACCTCTCCCCGCCCCCCAGCTTCGTGACCTTAGCAGTCTTCCTGCTGCTTCACGAAGCATCCTTGGTGGGGACCTCCCCCGTGGGGGTGTCATACAGGGCCTGCCAGCTGCGGGCAGCAGACAGCCGGCGTTCAGTAACCCTTCAAGAGGCCTGCTCTCTCCCCACAGACTGGAAGCATCACGGGGCAGGGCTGCCGGCAGGGAGTTGGCTGAGAGGCTGGCCTAGGTGGCCATCTCAGACTGCATAATGGCCATTGGGGTTTGGGGTGGCTTTTTGGGTCTCTGATGATCCTGACTCGGCTGGGGTCTGTGGGCTCCCTCATGTCTCTCATTCATTCATGCAGCCAGCGTTTGGGCTTTGTGGAGGCTGTGGGCCAAGTAAGGGTGTGGTCTAGTCTCTGGTTCTTTGCAGGATGATTGCAGGTGGAATGCAGGTGCTCCCCCGGGGACAGGGGTGGGGAAAAGGGCACCTGGCCACTGGGGAGAGGATGTGCCCAGATGGAGGCATGGCGGCAACAGAAGTCCTGGGTGGGGGGACAGGGACGGGACACAGTGCCCAAGGTGCCAGGCAGAGCCATCTGCCCCTGAGCGGACCCAGTGCACACCCCAAGCAGCAGCCCTGCCTGGTGGGACAGGGAAGGAGTACAGTCTGAACAGAGTCGCCTCTCTGGCTGGGGAGGTGCCAGGCCTGTCCCTGGATGGCACCTGGGCTGCAAGACATCCTCGGCTCTGGAACCTTGCTTGAATGGTGGATCGTCCACCCCTCCTCCTCTTGGGGGAGACATGTGGAGACTGGTGTGGTAGTATGTCCGTGGAAGAGGGCACGGTCCCGTGGGCACAGATGCAGCTTTCGGTAGGAAAGCCTCGCTTAGGAGGGACCCTGTGAGCAGAGATCTGGACAGAGGACGGGAGGCCTGGCAGTGGAACAGATATGCAAAGGCCCTGAGGCTGCCTGCGACACCTGGGGGACAGAGAGGTGCACTGTGCCTGGGCTTTGGATGGGCTAGACTGAGAGGGAGACCAGCTGGGTGGTTTCATGGTGCAGGGTTATGGCCTGTGATGAGAAGGCAGGCATGGGACTGGATGATGTTGCTGTGGAGAGAAGCCTGAGCAGTGGGGGTGCACCTGCCTTGCCTGCATGTTGGGTGAGGCCGCCCATCTCCAGGGCGTGGGGACATGGACGGGGCGCTGTCTCGCTTGCTCTGGCTCTGGGTCAGTGGCACAAAGCGATCCCGTGGTGAGGCCGGAAGTCAAGGGGCTCGCGCTGCAGTGCTGTAGCCCAGGTGGGGCCCCAGCCTGCAGCATCTCCAGATTGTTGCTGCCCTATGTGATGGAAGGCTGGAGTCCCACCAACCTGCCACGGAGGTGGCTGAGTTGAGGTCTTCCTCATTTCAGGAAGGAGCAATGGACCTACTTCGAGAGCTGAAGGCCATGCCTGTCACACTGCACCTGCTGCAGGTGAGTCTCTCTGTCCGTTAGGGGGAGTGGGAGGGGGCACCATGGACAGGGGTGGACTGTGGGTGAGGAGGGTGTCCAATCCCCAGCCCCGCTGACCCAGGCCCTGCCCCCGCCTCCGCTAGTCCACCCGCATCGGGATGTCGGTAAACGCACTTCGGAAACAGAGCTCAGATGAGGAGGTCATCACGCTCGCCAAGTCGCTCATCAAGTCCTGGAAGAAGCTCCTGGGTGCGGTCAGGCCCTGGGCGGCTGGGGTGGGGAGGCAAGGAAGACAAGCCCTTGAAGGACCAGCAGAGTTGGGAGGCCAGGTGGAGGATGAAGGAGGTGGTTGGCTGGAGTGTGGCCACCACCCTGCTGGGAGGGGATGGAGGGAGGGCAGCTCGGGCAGGGAGCATTGAGCTGGGTGGACAGGCGACTTTCTGGAGAAGGTGGGACGGCTGGGACTGCAGAGACATCCCATCCCACCCGGGACAGGGAGGCCCCCTCTCAACCTCAGAGCCCCTCTGAGCCTGTGTGGCCATCAGGCACACGTGTGCTGTGGGGGAAGGGTCCCAGGCCACAGCTGGGGCTGGGGGAATCTTGGCGTGTAGTTGCCCTCACCTGTCTGGCCGGTCCAGATCAGGCACGCTGCTCATGCGGAGGGCTGGCCTCGGGCACACTGCTGCCACGGCTGTTTGGCCCTCACACCTTCGGTCGCTCTGGAAGGTGGGCTGGCCCTCGACAGGCCTTGGGAGGCAGCATGGGCATTCCATGGTGCCCTTCGAGTGGGAGATGTCTGCAAAGCGGCATCGCAGGGGTGCAGGGACTGCAGAGACGAGGAGCTTGGGAGAAGGCTGTGTCAGTGGCAAGACGCAGTAGCCCCTGGCAGTCCTCTAGCCCTGGATGTGACCTGCTCACCTCCCTCGGCCTGGCCCAGCCCCTCTGAACTGCCGTGCTGAACGCCTTGCTGCTGTTTTCTGGCAACTACAGATGCTTCAGATGCTAAAGCTGGGGAGCAGAGGGGTGCGTCCCTGGCTGTGACACCCTCGAGAGACACCGCTGAGGCAAAGGCCCACAGGTGCGCCTGGGGGCAGATGTGCACTGTCCCTGCTCGGCCTCATTCGTTCTGGAAGCTGTGTTCAGTTTTGCCCTGAGGGCGCTGCCCTTGGGGCCCTGCCTGCTCTGGCCTTGCCATGGCTCTGGACTCTGTGCCTGCCTGACCAGTGGGGGCAGCTCCAGGATCCAGAACTGGTACCTGGCTAGAGGATGGGGCAAGGGGTATGGGTGTCTCAGAGAGGGCCAGATGGGGGCAGGCAGAAGGGGTGTGCTGGGTGATGGGAGGGGCCGGGAGGACAGGTGGAGAGGAGGTCTGCGGGCTGGGAGGTGAGGGTGGTTTGAGGCTGCCACTAAGCAGCATGTTCTTGTGCATACAGGCACGTGTTGGTCTTCCCTGGGGAAACTTCCCTGTTTCCACTGCCTCCCTACCCATGGGACCTCGTGGTCATGAGACATTGAGGCATAGGGTCTGGGCTAGGTAGCTGCAGCCCCGCTGCTGGGCTGCCTGCATGGGGGCCCAGCCCTGTGAGAGTATGTCCTTACTGGTTTTACACTTGGCAGGTGTCACCTGAAAGCTGGTCTTGGGCAAGCCGAGCTCTCTGCCAAGGCAGGTGGGGGCCTTTGCTCTTTGGCTCCTTGCCTGGTCTTGCCATGGTGGTAGCTGCCATCAGCAGATAAAAGGGGGTCTACAAGGGTGGGCTGTGTCCTGGACCTCCCTGAGGCCTTCGGCCAGCCCTCTTGATGGTGTAGGCCTCCCCCTCAGACAAGCTGGCCCCTGCTCCTGGCATCCTGGCCTCTGGTCCTGGGTCACTCGGGCCTGTGTCTGAGCCCCATGGGCCATCCCTCTCCAGCCGCAAGAGACCGGAGCCGTCCAAGACCCCATCAACCCCTCGCATGACCACATTCCCCCCAACGCCTATCACCTGTGATGCTGTGCGGAACAAGTGCCGGGAGATGCTGGCTGCTGCCTTGCAGACGGACCGTGAGTTCCCACCGACTGTGCCTAGCCCCTGTTCCTGCCCACGCTCTAGACAAGGGACCTTGAGGGGCAGCCCTGGCTCTTCCCCAGCCCAAAGCTGCCCACCTGGGGCAGGCAGGGCCTTTGGCACACGGTGGTATCCCCTCCTGCTGCTTGGGCTGGTGGGTGGGTGGGGAGGCCAGTGGACTTGGCTGCTCAAGCCTGCCTTTTGCAGATGACCACGTGGCCATCGGCGCGGACTGTGAGCACCTGTCTGCCCAGATCGAAGAATATATCCTTCGTGCGGGCCTGCAGGCTGGGGCCTGTGTGGGCCTGTGGCTGGTTGGACCTTGCGCCCCCTGGTGGCTGTCGGTCGGCACTGCCGGCCACCCCATGCCCCGGCTGGGATCAGAGTCTCAGTGGGGAATAGTGCAGTGGAGGCCGCTCTGCCACCGGCCAGGGTGGGCGACTCTGTTCCAAGGGGCTGGTCCTGACCGGTGGGCGGAGCGGCCTGGTTTCTCATTCTTGCCCAGCCCTTCGTGGCGCCCTGGGGAAGGGACGCCCATGGAGGACCCCAGCCCAGTCCCCTCGGGATATGTTTGGGTCCTTAACCGCTGCACGCATCTTCCGGGACGTGGGGAGCACGGACGTCAAGTACAAGAACCGCGTGCGGAGCCGCATCGCCAACCTGAAGGATGCCAAGAATCCTGGGCTGCGGCAGAGTGTTCTGCGCGGCGCCATAGCGCCCCAGCGCATCGCTGAGATGACCTCTGAGGTAAGCCGCAGGGCCGGGGGCGGGGCTGCCGCGGGGCCCACGCTGACTGGTGCCCCCTCAGGAGATGGCCAGTGACGAGCTGAAGGAGATCCGCAAGGCCATGACCAGGGAGGCCATCCGTGAGCATCAGATGGCCCGTGCAGGCGGCACCCACACCGACCTCTTCACGTGCAGCAGGTGTAGGAGGAAGAGCTGCACCTACACTCAGGTGGGCCCCAGGGAGCAGTTCTTGGAGGTGGGGCCCGCCTGCCTCATGCTTAGGTTGGGGACCCTGTTGGGCCCAGTTGGGGGCACCCTGAGGAGTAGGGTGTGATGGACGGACATGAAGGTGCTCTGAAGTGAAGGGGCCTCAGGACCCCAGGATGTGTGGGGCCTTGGAAGATGAGGGGACATGGGGGTCAGCAGATAGGGCTGTAGGAGGCCATAGGATCCATGCCACCCCCTCTGTGCCCTTCTGGGCCCATCGCTCTATAAACCACACAAGCTTCCGGATGACACAGAGCACAGTCGCCAGGCACAGCACCCTCAATCCCGGGTTGCCTGCCTCTGTGGCCAGCATTTCCTGCCAGCCTTCTGTGAGCCTCTGCCCAATGTGGTGACCATCTCCCTCCAGCCGTGGGAACTTGGGTTTCCCAGAGAAGCAGCCCCAGGGCCAGGCCCCACTTACCCCAGTCCCTCACAGGTGCAAACCCGAAGCTCTGATGAGCCCATGACCACCTTTGTTGTCTGCAATGAGTGTGGAAACCGCTGGAAGGTAGGTTGAACCTTTGGGTGGGAAGGTCTCAGGGTATCCAGGCGGCGTGGCTGTGCCTCTCATCTCAGCAACAGGAGGGGTTATGAGTGTAGGCTGGGCTGAGACCTTGACCGCTGTCAGGGCCTCATAGCCTACTCCCCACAGTTCTGCTGAGCCTGGGCACACACCTGTAGCCTTTGCTGCCCTCCCCACCCATCGATGTGGCTTCTCTGGAGACCCAGTGCTGTTCCCCACCATTGTAAAGTGACTCACCTCATCCCTGTCCTGCCTGGTGTGTACCTCTCACCTGTGGCACAGATGATTAAATGTTTGTTTTTGCCACTTTGATGTCTTTGGCCCTCCGTCTGGGTGGGCTGTCCCCACTCAGGACAGCCCTTCTAATCTGGGGCCAGACGACATGGGGGCCCGGCAGTGGTGGCTGCAGAGGAGTGCTGGCTCCAGAGGGTTCACTGCGGGCCTGTGTGTAGAGGTGGGCATGGGTGTGCGTGTGGGTGAAGGGTGTGAATGGGGATGTGCACCAAGGAGTTTGTGTGTGTGTGTACAAAGGCCCACGGAGCAGGGTACGTGGGCAGGTGGGGAAGGGGCGTGTTTTGTCTGTGTAAACTGTGGGTCCCACGTGGGGTCTTCACTAGTTGTCTGCTCCGAATCCCCTCCTCCCCCAGGCTGCCAGCAGCTCCAGTTCTCAGTGTCAGAGGCTTTGACCTGGGTGCCTCCACCATAGCCTCCTGTGAGGCCTCTTGCAGCTTGTTCTCTCCCCCTTCTCTCCCCACATCTCTCCTGGAAATGGCAGAGTGGACCTGCTGGGGTGGGTGGCGTGGGGGTCTTGGAGCCTGGGCCACTTCCTGTTTTGAAAAACTTAGCTTCTCAGTGACTTGGGGAAATGGGTGAGGAGGCCATTCCTAGGGACCCATGAGAAGGTGGAGGCAACTGCCTGTCCCAAAGGGAGGCATCCCTGCTGTGCTCCTCGTCAGGGCGACTCTGGAGGCCGTTCACAGGTGCCCCTCGGCCAGTAAACTCTGGTGCAGGAGGCTGAGCAGTGCCCTGCTTGAGGGCAGGGCAGGAAGGCTCTCCAGGGGTTGGGTGGGCTGGGTCCTGGCCAGGCTGTTGGGTGAGTGGCACCTGTGCCTAGAGCTCCCCAGACACCCCAGTGAGGAGACCACTGCCTAGTGGGGATGACACATGGAAATAGGCAGGAGAAAGACTTTGTTTTAAAAATATCTTCAGTAATAAGACATCCTATCGTTTGGGGTGGAGATAAATAGGAAAACTTTTTCTTTCCTTTTGGTAGAACACACAGTGAGGACGCTTCCAGGTTTAAAGTCCTTGAATGGAATACCAAAAAGGCCCCTGTCACCTCGAGCCAGGTTCTGGGATTGGGGCTCTGACCCCCGGGGTATAGGCAGCTCTAGTCTGGGGCTCTGCGAGTTATAAACAGTGTGCAGGTTCTGTGCTGCACCATGAGGCAGTTCCCAGGGCCAGAGGGGCTCCTGGGAAGGCCCTTCTCCCTGGGCAGGTGCCCCCAGGGGCAGGGAGGGAGGAGGAACCGGCCAGGCCAGAGCAGGCGCCCCCATACCTGCCTTCGCTGGACCTGCAGCACCTGGAGCCTCTGCCTGTCCTTGTGGCAGCGGCAGGGACTTCCTGGGACCGGACTCGCTGTGGAAGTCCATGCAGGGCCCTAGGGTCCTGGTGCTCCAGGTGGACTCAGGCCTCCGAGGAGGAGGGGGTGGGCTCTTGGAGCAGCAGGGCACGGTAGGTCGGGGAGCCGAGGAAGCGGGGGTAGGAGTCCCGGTGCATGAGCGTGTAGATCTGTAGCTGTGCATCGTCGAACGTGTGCGCAGACGGCTCCTGCATCCGTTTGTTGATGCCCTCCCGCACGCGCGAGTCCAGGCTCACCTGTAGGCAGGCAGGCAGGGAGTGGGTCAGGGGCTAGGCAGCAGTACCTCCACCTGCCCCACCCCCCTGCTGTGCACCACGCACCTCCTTAGGGGACAGGATGGACACGTAGTCCTCGTAGATGAGCCGGGCCTTCTCGTCCACCACATGCTGGTTGGCTTCAGCCTTGAGCTCCTCGCAGGCCAGCCAGAAGAGCATGTTCTCCTCGCTGTACTCGGTACGCAGGAACTCGCGGAACACACTGCGACCCGCCGGACTGTGTATCAGCTTGTCAAAGGACTGTGCCCAGCTGCGTACCTCCTCAGGGCTCGGCGCCGTGCTGCGGGCCACAGGAGGTCAGACGAGGCACCTGGCGCCGGCCTGCCCGCTGGACCACAGATGCATGCACACCCTCACGCCCACACACCCACACGCCTACACGCCCACCCCATGGCTGCACGCGGCCACCCACCTCACGTGCGCACACAGGCTAGCTGGGACTCACCATACTTCGCAGCTGGGGAGGGGCTGCAGTGTGGCCTCCCGAGAGGCCCGCCAAGCTCGCCGCCTCTCTTCATTCCTAAAAGCAGAGATGGGCCTGACTGCCTGTGCTCGTGGGCACAACACACAGGTGCACACGTGGCCTTCAGCACATGGTTATGTGCTCATGTGAACGGTCAGCACATGGCTAGACACAGATAGGCGTGGAACAGCACCGAGCCACGCACAGGTAGACACGGGCACAGGGCTTGGTGCACAGGTAACCTGTGCACAGAGAAGCAGCCCCTGGACTCTTCCCTCGTCATACCCCTCCTGCGAAGGGGATCTACTCACTGCCCACCCCTCCCTCCCTCCTGCTGAGTCAGCCTGTCCAGCTGCTGACCCTGCCAAGGCCATGGCTTTTGCCCTCCTCTTCCTCCTCAGCCTTGTTTGGCTGGTGACCCCACTGTCTTCCTGCTGGGACCCTATGTGGACTGCCCGGAGCTCCGCCTGCCTCCCAGAGCCCCCTGGTAGGCCCATACTGCAGGCCCTACAGGCTGCCGATCAAGGTGAAAGCCTGCCCTGCACTAATACGTTAGGCCCCAGTGTCTGACCCTGACTCCCAGGAACACCTCCCCTCTCCCCACTCGATGGCACCAGCCCCACATCTCCTCCTCAGAGGCATCGCTGCTTCCGGACATGCTGGCCCCCAACCCAAGTCCTCTCCATCCTTCCCACACTGCGGCCCCTCCCAGTGCTCCCCACCACGGTCTCCTGCTTGGGCTCAGGCCTGGGTTGCTCATTGGTTGGCTCATCTCATTTCAGGTCCCTTTGGTCCACCCCCTCCCCGGCCAAGCCTGAACAAGGTCAAACTCTGGGGTGGTGGCCTCCTATCCCAGGGCCTGTGCCCCTACTGGAGCTCTTCCCTACCTTCCCAGGCTTGGGAGCCCTAACCCTTACCATCCCCTCCTCAGAGCCCCCCCAGCTCCTCCTCTGTGGTCCTTGGCACGACCTGCTGGACCTGTGCTTCTATCTTGTGCTCTTTGGGGCTCCGAGGCCTGAGCCTGGCCCAGAGTAGCATCGATAGACATGTGCTAAGTGTGTGGACAAAAGCAGGTGTACGTGTGCATGCAGTACACATGTGCTGGTACCTGCCCACAGGTACACCTTTGTCGCACATGAGTCTCCTGGAGGAGCCTTGGCAGGACAGGGCTCCTTGTGAAGGCCCCTTCCAGAAGCCTCTGGAGGGCCACAGGGCGTCTGGGGAATGACCCCACCCCTCCCCAACTAGACCCCCCCCATGAAGCTGCCACCCTGATCACCGCCACCCTCACGTACCCTCATGCTCCCTGCATACACCCAGCCCCCTGTATCTGTCAGCCCCACCCTCGGTGCCCCGCGCACCTCGGGACCCCAGGCCCACGTACCAGGAGCAACAACAGCAGCAGCACCAGCACAAGCAGCAGGGGTTGCGGCTGGGAGCAGATGGGGTGGCCACAGGAGGGGCCGCTGAGGGGGCTCCATCATGACTGGACATGGGGGGGGGCTGGTCTGCCTCCTCTGGCCCTGTGTGCTGTGGGAGATGGTGGCTTAGAGCAGAACACACCAGCCAGTCCCGTCCCCCAGTGCCTGCCCGCTGGGCTGCGCTCCCTGAAGCCCTTCTGCCTCCCAGGGGTGCAGGGTCTCCCAACTTTTTGTTTTCCCTGCCGTAGCTTGCCCTCCCCTCCATTTTCCCCAGGAGCGTGGGGACGCACCTGTGTCTCAGCCTCATGCGGGGTGGGCATGGGTGGGCCAAGAAGGTGCCCCAGGCTCTGTGGTGCCTGCTCCGGAACCCTGGCCACGGCCGGGGGTCTGAGGAGAGAGGCCGAGGCTCTGTCTGAGAACCTGAGACCCCAGGCCCTGCCAGCCCTGGGGTCCTGAGAGGTTCTGCGTCTTGCCTTCCACCTTCGGCCCTGGCTCCCAGGACAGTGGGGAATGGAGCCCCATCCTAGTCTGAGCCCCTGACAAGGTTCCGGGACACCCCCATCAGCTCAGTCCCTGGGAAGCCGGAAGGCTGGGTTCCTCTTTCTTGGTTTCCAGCTCTGCCCCTCCCCGGGGGCTGGGGCCCTGAGAATCATGGGGGTGGCAGCCAAGCCTTCAGAACACCTCCAGCTCCCTGCATGCTGATTGTTTTGCCCAGACTGTGGGGGCTGGGAGCTGTGACTCCTCCTGTGAGCCTCCGTGGGTTCACAGTTGACTGGGGACTCAGCAGGGCAGCAGGCTGGGCCTGCAGCATGCAAGGTTTCAGTGGAATCGGGCAGGACCTCCTGAGGGCGCAGGAAGTGGGGCAGGGCGGGTGTCTTGGAGGAGCTCGCCCTAGCCTGCCACCCCACTTAGCCGCTTTGGTCTTCGGCCCCCACCTTTCCCCCGGAGGCCCTGCCTGACAGAGCTGCCTCCTTACCCTGCGCCCAGCATCTCTGTGGCACCCCTGCCTGCCCACCGCCTCCAGGCAGCGGAAACCGCTGTGGCCAAGCGCCCTGCCGCAGGGTGTGCCAGGCTAGGGGAAGGGGCACCTGCCCCTGAGTTGGGGCCTGGGGTCCCTGCGCTGGCCATCCTGCCCTGCATTGCCAATGCACTTTGGGCAGGGGTGCCAGTGTTGATGGCCAGGTGAAGGGCAGGGGTAGCTGGCGACCCCTCAGGCTGGCTTGGTGGGGTTTGGCCAATGTGCACACTGCAGGTGGTTCTGAATGCCCCTGCCTGTGCCCATCGCACCTGCCATGGCCCTGTTCCACTCATTTTTCGCTTATCCTCCGCCCCACCCCAGAGTGTGGTTTCCGTCTGCCCTTCTGTGTTGCCTTTCGGGCCTGCAGGGAAGGAGCAGATCTCTGGGGCCCCTGGTCGGTCGTGGGGACCTCATGTGGCAGCACTCAGGGGCCACGGGGCTGCTCCTTGGCCTGGACATGTAGAGGTCTGGGCTCTGACAGGCTGTGGGGGCACAGAGTCTTCTGGGACTTCAGTGCTTACCATCCCTGCTGGTCTTCACTGACCCAGAGAGAGGTCTCTGGGGTCAGGTTTCTAGGAGAGGAAGGGGTGTGGTCCCACCTGAGGCCTGAGGGCTGTAATACCCAGACAGCACAATGACATTCCTCCCCAACACCACATCCACTGGGAGGGCTGAGGGCCCCAGCCCTTTCCCCTCCCTTAGCTCCAAGGTCTCTGAGTTGGAGGAGGGGAGCTTGTTTGGGATGCAGAGCTGGGTGGTGTGGGCCAGGTCCTTTCTTCTTCAGGCCCTGGGCCTGGTTCCTACACCTGGCCCCAGTGCCCTCCCCAGGTGGCTAGGGATACCCCATGCCCTGGGCCACTTCCTCTATTCCCTGTGAGGGCACAGGGTCTGCCTCTCATGATGGTGTTCTGTGGCCTCCTCCCCTTCCCCGGTCCTCAAGCTTTGGCTCCTGAGTCTAGGATGGAGAGGTTGGACAGGCAGCCAGTTCAGCCCCTGGGGACAGAGGTTCCCCTGGGAGCGCTGCTACTCCAGCCACAGAAGGAAAAGGAACGTCCCTGAGTCGCCCAGTCCAAAAAAAGAATAAGAAAATGTGACAATCCCAGAAAAAAATGCCATAACCTTTAGGGGGGCCACAGCGCAGCCCATTCCCTCTGATCCTACCCAATGCCACCCTCTCCTGCTAGCCTGGTGGGACCAAGGAAGGCCTGGTGACTCCCCCCCCCAGCCCGCCCCTGCAATGGCAGGTGCGACCCCCTCTCTCAAGTCTGGGACCCTCTTCTGACGGCCCCACTCCACCTTAAGGAACTCGCTCTGGCCCGGTGCCTCACTCACCAGCGACCCAAAGGTGGGGTGGGGACGGAAGGAGCCAGGTTCACCCTGCCCTCACTCTGGCCTCCGAAGGGGCGTGCACTGCAGCGGGGACTCGATCAGACGGCAGGGGGTACGCCTGCGGCGTCTAGAGGGGCTGGGCCGGGGGCGCTGCGCCTCCCTGCCGGCTCGCGGGGCTGAGCGGCTGCCAGATCCAACCCGGGCGGGGGCGGAGGGCGTCCCGCCCCGGTCCCTCCCCACCGGGACAAGGCGGGCGGGAGACGCGGAACCTGGGTCCTTCCGGCCCCCACCTTTGAGCAATCGCTACCCCCAGCTTAGAGCTGCAGAAAAAGGGGAACCGGTACTGTGCCCCTCCCCCGCGCGGGGGGTCCGGTCCCGCTGCGGCCCAGGGTCCACGTGGGCCCGGGGCGGAAAGTCCGGGTGCAGCCTCGGGTGCGCTGGCTGCCAGGC